CCTTGCCCGGCTTATTTTTTTATTTATTGTTTGTTTGTTTATGGATTGATTGATTGAGTTGGAGTCTCACCCTGTTGCCCAAGCTGGAGTGTAGTGGCATGTTCACGGCCACCCCAGCGTTAACCTGCTGGGCGCCAGTGATCCTTCAGCCTCAGCCTTCCAAGTAGCTGGAACTACAGGTATGCACTACCATGCCCGGCTAATTTTTTTATTTATTGTAGAGACATGGTCTTGCCAAGCTATTCAGGCTGGTCTCGTACCCACGGGCTCAAGCGATCCACTCACCTCAGCCTCCCAAAGTGCTGGGATTACAGGCTGAGCCACGGAGCCCGGCCTTTTTTATTTATTATAGAGATGAGGTCTCGCCAAATTGCCCAGGTTGGTCTCAAACCCGTGGGTTCAGGTAACCCTCTCACCTTAGTCTCCCAAAGTACTGGGATTATGGTCTAGAATCCCTAATCTTAAAGATACAAATCTTTAAAAGGAGAATATAACCTTCATAACCCAGCAGAGCAGGAGAGATACGCGCACACACAAGGGGTTTCAGCCCACCCTTCAGTCACATCACACCGGTAGGATCCTTCCTTCTAGTTCTACTAAGTGAGCACAACAGGCCCATGGGCTGGAATGGCCAAACTCCACAAAACAGACTATGCAGCAAGAGGAAGCCTCTCCCCCACACACCCACAAGATGAGCTCAAGGAGGCAGAGACAATGTCCTCAGCAGCACAGAAAAAAAAAATCACACTGCTCACTCTGGACATCAGAATGGAAAAAGAACAAAAATGCCCAGCTCCACAAAAGACACTGTCTGAAACGTGCTTCCTGTCACAGCCACCTGCCTTTCCAATTGGAGTCTGGGTTCTGTCTCATTACACAGAAGAGTTGATTCAGTTGGGTCCATCTAATTATTCTTATTAAAATATGTAACCATAATATTTTAATTGTAAATTAAAGTTGCATGCATGAATGAATCTGAATTCATTTTCATTTCACAATGGCCCAACGCCAAGGCCTTTTTATGGAGAAGATCCATCAGCTCAGATACTGCTCTCTTGGGAATTGAACCGATGTGCAAATGGAACACGTTTAACTAACAAGGGAGAGTCTTGCTCCCTTTTCTCCTCACTCTAGATTTATTACAGTCATAAAAGCCGTTCTAACAAGAGAGACTGCATTTGATTCTCACCCCTCAAATCTTAGCCGCCCCCTCCCCCCATTACCAAACTTCATGGCTGGCACTACCAGTTAGGTAGAACTAAGGTGTCACTTCCAGATTGTATGAATCTTGAGCAAGGAGGATAAATAGATCTCAGTTCACATGACAAACTCACGATTAATTAGTAACATCTGTTGTGGGCCCCTTGTAGAAATAGCTCACATATCCACCGCACCCTGGATCTAGGTTCCAGAACAGTCAGAGGATACTGCATTTTTGGCCCTTACATATTCAATTAGGTAGAACCAAAATTACTTTTCACTAAACAGCCAGCTACTAGATACTAAAAGCTCAACCAGGCTGGGCGCGGTGGCTCAAGCCTGTAATCCCAGTACTTTGGAAAGGCCGAGGCGAGAGGATTGCCTGAGACCAGGGGTTTGAGACCAGCCTGGGCAACTTGGCGAGACCTTGTCTCTACAATAAATCAAAAATTTAGCCGGGTGTAGTGGCTCGTGCCTGTAGTTCCAGCCACCTGGAAGGCTGAGGCGGAAGGATTGCCTAAGCCCAGCAGGTTGGGGCTGTTGTGGTCATGAGCTTGCCACTGTACTCCAGCCTGAGCAACAGAATGAGATGACTCCAACTAAAAAAAAAAAAAGTCTCAACTAAAACCTTTTAATCTCAGAACCTGAGATTAAAACACAATCAATGCTTTCAAAAGCCTCTTCTTGACTTCTAAATTCAGGTCAGAAGGATAAGGGGAAGTTAGTCAATCAATACGGTATGAAGGCAAAGGGCAGAGATTATTCCAGGCTGTGGGAAAAACATCTCTGAAAGTCCAGGGGATGAGAGCACACAGAGCACTCCAGGCTCTAAAGTAAGCTCTGAAATAAGGAGCGAGGGTCCACGACCATAACACCCTAACACGCCCGGACTCATCTAAAATGAGGTGCAGTAGGTAAGTCTGGAGAAAGAAACGGGTTTGGATTCTGCAGGGACCTAGTAACTTCATGCAGGTGTCATGACTTGTTCTAAGAGCAAAGGATTAAAAGCCAGGAGATCATTCTGACCACATGTAAAAAATGGATTAATCTGTGGGGAACGGTAATATACTATAGTACATCCAGAACCTAGCCTTGCTATGTTTATGTCTTGCTGACAGCAGCTACCGTAAATTTTTGAACATTATTCCCCTTTCTATCTGCAGTGTTTTGGTGTTTTGTTTTGTTTTTTTTCTTTTCTGTTGAAGGAATTTCCTGTTTAAAATCTCTTAACGTGGCTAGGCATGGTGGCTCATGCCTATAATCCCAGCTCTTTGGGAGGCCAAGAAGGGAGGATTGCTTGAGCCCAGGAGTTCAAGACCAACCTGGGCAATATGGTGAGACCTCGTCTCTATTATTAAGAAAATGAAATAAAAGAAAATCCCTTAACATTATAAAATTATTACATAAGTATATATAAGAAAAGAGTTTTTCAAGGTCAATGACATGCTTTCTTTATATAGTGGGTAAAAATCTGTGTCTCGTTTTTACTCACTGGAGTGAGTTTATAATAGAAATCAAGTGGTTAAACCAACCACCAAGAAATAAAAAAAGCTTCTTATAATTAGAAAAAAAACCTTTGTTGGTTTCATTGATAGGTATTTCCCACCCCACACCCCCAAGAGAGAAACTTTTAAAATGTGCCTTTTGATCAGTGCCAGTGTGCCCTTGGCACAGCCTGCTCTATAGTGTCAGACCAGCATAGCAGTGTAGAGAAAAATTGACCTTACACAGAGAGAGCTCTGGACTCTGAGGGGTGACCTCTAGGCCCCTGGAACATCCTACCTAATAGCAGTATCTTCGTTTGCCCGGAGCTTAGGCCACCAGACAGTCTCACAATGTAATTATGACGGGGACTTTGGGCCATGCCGCATCTGTTCTGACCTCCAGAGGAAATGAAAATAAAGGTGTTAGCCTGACCCTAGGAAGGGCAGAAACAAGAGGTCAGCAATGCAGGTGGCAGGTGACTGAGTCCCAGTTAAAACTCTGGACACCAAGCCGGGCTCAGTGACTCAGCCTGTAATCCTGCACTTTGGGAGGCTGAGGTGAGTAGATTGCCTGAGCCCGCAGGTTCGAGATCCACCTGGGCAACATGGTGAGACCTCATCTCTACAATAAATCAAAAAATTAGCCGGGCATGGTAGCACGCGCCTGTAGTTCCAGCTACTTGGAAGGCTGAGGCAGAAGGATCGCCGGAGCCCAGCAGGTCGAGGCTGTGGTGGCCGGGAGCGGCCACTGCACTCCAGTCTGGGCTACAGAGTGAGACTTCAACTCAAAAAAAAAAAAAAAAAAATACTCTGGACACCAAAGGCTCAGACAAGCTTTCCTGGCTGGCAATACTCTGGGCACACTGTTGGAGGGCAGCTCTATCCATGACTCCTTGGAGAAGGGACAACTCTTAAGTGCCTCCCTAACGTCATCCTATGTGCCTGTCTCTTCCTTTGGCTGGTTCTAATCTGTGTTCTTTCCCTGTAATAAACAGCATCTGTGAGTATAATAGATCTCTGTGGTTTCTGTTTTTCTCGTGAAAAAAAAAAAGCTTTTGAGTTTGGGAAGCCCTCAAAACTTGCAACTGACGTTGGAAGAAAGGGCAATCCTGTGGTGACCATGCCCCTAACCTCACAGTTGATGAGTTACCTTCACGGAGCAGGTATTTCTTGAACAAGCAGCCTAGTCTAGGTATTGTGAGGTGTCACTTCTGGGGGTGGGAGTTAGGGAGACTGACCGGGTGCCTTCTGGAGTGCTAGAAACGTCCATACTTTGATCTGAGTGGTGGATACAGGTATATTCCTAAGTAAAAATCCATTGAGCTACACACCTAAGATTAGGGCCCTTTATGTATTTCACTATACATATTATAGCCCGATTATTAAAAGTTAAGAAAAAAAACAAATCACTGCCTTTGAAAATGAGGGAGCCCAGCCTGGAATAAAAGGGTAGAAGTGAGCTGGACTGCTGAGGAAAACCTAAACCCACAGACAGGGCTGAAAGAAGGGATGTGACATCCAGCAAGGGAGTTTCTGAAGATTCTCTGTAATGGATTGAGTGCTTTAAACTTGGGTAAAGCGAGCTGTGCCCATGTGATCACATGGCCGTGTGGCATATGCACACGTGCATTCCCTAGACAGGCCCTTGTGCTGCTTCTCCACTTTATCGGGCTCACCAACTAATGATGTGCCTATACCATAGCAGCATAGCAGGACGGGAAGAACCATGGGAACTTCCAAAACAGGAGACCCTCAGCCAAGGGCTGGCATGGTGGCTGTCCCATCCTCCTTCTAGTCAGATAGAGGCTCAGGAAACTGGAAGTAGGAAGCCACGCTGCAGTCAAGAAGGGACAGCCTTGCCTGTTCTGTGTAAAACCAAGCACAGAGGAGCTCCAAGAGGCAACAAGCAGGGCAAAACTGACACCAATGGCTGACGGTTTCCCCAGGGCTGTTACCCAACGGTGGGAGAATTCAAGATGAGTCAGTGGAGTAGAAAGCCAAGAAAGCAAACCAGACGGAGACTGTTCAAAGCAAGCGGTGGGCGACAGAGCCTGGGCGAGTTCTGAGTCACGAGAAAAGATACGTGTCCTAAAACAGTGGGTGGGAGAGTGCTCCTCAGTGCTCAGTCACTGGAACCCAAGATGAAGGCCGCAGATGCACCAAGGGTGGGAGTGGGGAGTGAGTGCAGGTGGGCAACATTTGTTCTTTCAAGAGCCCTCCTCTAACGTGCCAAGGATTCACAGTTAGTGAGTGAAGGTCTAACCTGTGTGAGTCAAAGCACGTGGGTTAGTTATTTTTGGATGAGTAATGACATACCTCTTTCTGTTGTTCTGGAAACATCTTCAGCACAGGACACAATCAATCTGAAAAATAAAGCATCCATGCTAGGTGACTTGGAAGCTGCAAACTGGAGTGGGCATGCCTTTCATGGCCTCCCATCCAAATCCCACCACAGACCTGCCCCCATAGTCCCTGACAGGTGAGACCGTGCTCTCCCTCACTCCCGCCATAGCCAGCCAGATCAAGGTGAACATCAGTCCACACTGGGGATGGGGAGTTTGGACCGTGGCGAGTCCTAGGCAGCTAGATGATGACAGGCCCTCAAATGGCAAGGCCAGGCAGGCAGCCTGGAGTTGGAGCCTTAGGAGATCAGAGGCAGCTAGAATGTGGGGAGCAAAGAGAGGGGATGATGGGAAAGACGCCCAGAGACCCACCTCAGGGAGGACCCGATGGTTTCACTGGAAACTCAAACCTCTAATAGCCAGGTCATTAGTGTGACATTTCAGCTGCTCCAGAGGTCAGACAAGAGATGGTGTGTAGGCCAGGTATGGCAGTTCACACCTGTAATCCCAGCACTGTGGGAGGCGGAGGCGAGAGGATTGCCTGAGCCCAGGAGTTCAAGACCAGCCTAGGTAACTTGGTGGGACCTCATCTCTACAATAAATCAAAAAATTAGCTGGGTGTGGTGGCACATGCCTATGGTTCCAGCTACTTAGAAGGCTGAGGCAGAAGGTTTGCTAGAGCCCAGCAGGGTTGAGGCTGCAGTCAAGCCTGGGCGACAGAGCAAAATTCTGACTCAAAAAAAAAAAAAAAAATGGAAGCCTGCCTGTCTGGCCCTGCATGTCCCTGGGGTTGTCTATTGTTCTCTAAACCCACTTACTTATTATATAAGCCCATTGGATTTAACACCTGCTTTGTGGGGGGAAAAAAAAGGTGAAAAATCCTGGCCTATATCCACAGGTATGCATTCTTACAACTGAAAGGTGGCCGCGACTGAAGGTTTACAATTAACATTTATTTTTTACTTTTTTGAGTTGGAGTCTCACTCCGTCACCCAGGCTGGAGTGCAGTGGCATACTCACAGCCACCCCAGCCTCGACCTGCTGGATTCAGGCAATCCTTCTGCCTCAGCCTTCCAAGTAGCACGCACTACTATGCCCAGCTTATTTTTTGATTTATTGTACAGATGAGGTCTCGCCAAATTTCCCAGGCTGGTCCACCTTTATTTTTATACTATATTATATTTTAAACCCATTTTCTGGATACATATGACCACCCACAAATATCCCCAGAGTCTCTGCCCACATTCTCAGCACTGTAGGGAACACCAGAAAGCAGGAAGACAAGCTCAGCCCCAGTCCCCATGTGGAGTCACTGACGAGGTTCCCACAAGGCAGAGGAGTGGTACCCGCAGGAGGTGAGCACTCCAAACCAGGGCAGCGGACAGGCAGCCTTTCAGGGGAAGGATGTTCCTTTCACCTGCAGAGACCAGAGGGACCCGCAAAGAAGGCAGGGGAAAATGGGGGAATCTAAACGTTCAAGAGAACACGGGGACTTTGGGAGAGCAGAGGTATGATGACATTCAAGGAGGATGACAAAAAGCATGATATACAGTGAAGAGGCCAGATCGACTGGGGAGGTTTAGGGAGTAGAATTGTGGCAGACAACCCCAGAGCCTGTGAATGTGACATTATTTGGAAAAAGTGGTCTTTGGAAAAATGATTTTTTTTTTACTTGAAGTCTCACTCTATTGCCTAGGTTGGAGTGCAGTGACACACTCACAGCCACCGCAGTCTCGACCTGCTGGGCTCAGGTGATCCATCCACCTCAGCCTTCCAAGAAGCTGGAACCACAGGCACGCGCCACCATGCCCACTAATTTTTTGATTTATTGTAGAGATGAGGTCTCTCCAAGTTGCCCAGTCTGGTCTCAAACCCCTGGGCTCAGACAAGCCTCTCACCTCCGCCTCCCAAAGAGCCAGGATTACAGGCATGAGCCACCGCACCTGGAAATTATTATTATTTTAGTTGGGGGGGGGTCACTTTGTTACCCAGGCCAGAGTGCAATGGGACGATTACAGCAAAGGACTTGACAGACATTTCTCCAAAGATGATACAAATGGCCAACAGACATACGAAAACATATTCAACAATACTATACATTAAATAAATATAAATCAAAGCCACAATGAAAAATCACCTCACACCCATTAGGTCAGCTATCATAAATAAGTATTGGTGAAGATATGGAGAAATTGTAACCCTTGTGCTGGCGGGAATGCAAAATAGTGCAGCCGCTGTGGAAAACAGTATGGCGGTTCCTCAAAAAATTAAAAATAGCCTGAGCCCACGGGTTCGAGACCAGCCTGAGCAACTTGGTGAGACGTTATCTCTACAATAAATCAAAAAAAGTAGCCAGGCATGGTGGTGCATGCCTGTAGTTCCAACTAGTTGGAAGGCTGAGGTAGAACCCAGCAGATAGAGGCTGCAGTGGCCATGAGTGTGCCACTGCACTCCAGCCTGGGCAATACTCCAGCCTGGGCAACAGAGTGAGACTCCAACTCAACAACAACAACAACAAAAATTAAAAATAGAGCTACCACATGATCCAGCAATCCCAGTTCCAGATATATATCCCAAGAGCTGAAGGCAGGATCTCAAAGAGATATCTGTACTCCCACATTCATAGCAGCATTATACACAATAGCCAAGAGTTAGAAGCAACCTAAGGGTCCATCAATGAATGAATGGATAAGCAAAATGTGGTCTATCCATACAATGGTGGCATTATTCAGTCTTAAAAAGGAAGGAAATCCTGCCACATGCTACAACACAGATGAACCTTAAGAACATTATGCTAAATGAACTAATCCAATCACAAAAAGATAAGTCCCTCATTATTCCACTTACATGTTTTAAAGTAGTCAAATTCATAGAGAAAGTACAATGCCAGGGGCTAAAGGAAGGGGAAAATGGAACATTCTTTAATGAATCTAGGGTTTCAGTTTTACCAGATGAAAAGATCTGTAGGCCTGTTGACAGCAATATGTACAGACTTAACACTGCTGAAATGTACATGCTAAAATGGTAAATTTCGTATTATGTGTTTCTTACCACAACCAAAAATCTCTTTAATGTTTAACCTTGCTATTCATAACTACAAATAAAAACAAGACACTCACAGCCACCATAGCCTCAACCTGCTCAGCTCAGGTTATCCTTCTGTTTCAGTCTTCCAAGTAGCTGGAACCACAGGCGCATACCACCATGCCCAGCTAATTTTTTTTTAATTGTTATAGAGACAAGGTCTCACCATGTTGCCCAGGCTGGTCTCGAACTCATGGACTCAGGCAATCATCTCGCCTCCATCTCCCAAAGTGCTGGAATTACAGGCATGAGTCACAGAACCTAGCAGAAATTTCTTTAATAATAACTTACATCCATTGCTGGCAAGGATAATTAGAAATGGGGCCAGGCATGGTGGCTCACGCCTGTAATCCTAGCACTTTGGGAGGGGGAGGTGAGAGGATTGCTTGAGCCCACAGATTTGAGACCAGTCTGGGAACTTGGCAAGACCTCGTCTCTAAAATAAATCAAAAAAATGAGTCAAGTATGGTGGTGCACGCCTGTGGTTCCAGCTACTAGGAAAGCTAAGGCAGAAGGATCATCTGATCCCTGGAGGTCAAGGCTGTGGTGGCTCTGGGCTTGCCACTGCACTCCTGCCTGGGCAGCAGAGTAAGACGCCAACTCAAAAAAAGAAACAAAGAGAACTAAGTACTATTGGTAGGAATGTGTGCTATTTCAGTATTTCTGAAGGATAATTTGGCCCTACATTTCAAAAGCAACAATATAAACTGTTTATACTCTTTAGCTTAATAATTTGGCCTCTGGGAACACAATCTAAAATATTAGTGCCACATGTCCAAAATATTTGTACATGAAAAAATAATCACAATGCAGTATTTGTAAAAAAATTTTAATGAGGCTGGGCACAGTGGTTCGTGCCTGTAATTCTACCACTTTGGGAGATGGAAACGAAAGGATTGCTTGAGCCCAGGAGTTCAAGACAAGCTAGGCAATATAGCAAGACCTCATCTCTACAAAACAAAAAATCAGAAACATTAGTCAGGCATGGTGGCACATACCTGTAGTACCAGGTACATACTCTAAGCTAAGGCGGAAGGGTTGCTTGAACCCAGGAGGTTGAAGCTGTGGTAAGCCATGAGCATGCCACTGCACTCCATCTGCAGCAACAGAATGAGACTCCGACTCAAAAAAAAAATTTTTTAACGGAAATTTAAATGTCTATAAGTAGAGACAATGAATTATGAGCCGGGCACAGTGGCTCATGCCTGTAATCTCAGCACTTTGGGAGGCTGAGGTGAGAGGATTGCCTCAGTTCATGGTTTCCAGACCAGCCTGGGCAGCATGGTGAGATCTTGTCTTTACAATAGATAAAAAAAACTTAGCTGGGCGTAGTGGCACATGTCTGTAGTTCCAGCTACTTGGAAGCCTGAATTGGAAGAATTGCTTAAGCCCAGCAGGTAGAGGCTGCAGTGGCTATGAGCATGCCATGGCACTCCAGCCTGGGTGACAGAATGAGACTCCAACTCAAATAAAAAAAAAAAAAGAAGAATTATAGTACAATTGCATAATAGACTACTTTGTAGCCACTGTAAAGTGTTATGGATGTCTGTAATCCCAGCACTTTGGGAGGCTGAGGCGAGAGGATTGCCTGAGCCTAGAGGTTCGAGGCCAGCCTTGGCAACTTGGCGTGACCTCCTCTCTATAATAAACCAAAAAATTAGCTGGGTTTGGTGGCGTATGCCTGTGGTTCCAGCTACTTGGAAGGCTGAAGCAGAAGGATTGCTGGAGCACAGCAGGTTGAGGCTGCAGTGGCTGTGAGTGTGCCACTGCACTCCAGCTTGGGTGACAGAGTGAGACTCCAACTCAAAAATAAAAAACTAGTGCCGGGCTCAGTGGCTCAGCCAGTAATCCCGCACCTTTGGGAGGCTGAAGTGAGTGGATTGCCTAAGCCCACGGGTTCGAGACCCGCCTGAGTAACTTGGTGAGACCTCATCTCT